TTGTGTCTGTCATCACGTTTTAGGACAGTTAAAGTGCTTGGATTTTCTTCAACAGTAGCTTTTCTGATAGGAAAATGAATCTAGTTGGTACTTTGGGGGTCAAAAGTAAAGTCTCAGTAGTTTTCACAAGCGCCGGGAAAAACAACATAAAAATTAAGGAAAAACGGGAATTTTTTAGCAAATATTTTGATTTATTTTGAACTGTTTAGGGACATTTGCATTTTCCATTTTTTTTTAGTTTTTTTTCTAAAAATAGCAATAACATTTTCTTTGTTGGTTGCGAAAGCTTGCAAATTTAATAGAAGGCTACTAGTATATTGTTTCAAAGGCAGATGAAAAATATTAAAAATCCTTAGTCTCAATTTTTTTTATAAGCATTTAAAGTTCAAAAATTGACAAAATATGGAAAAATCACGAAAATTAGCAAATTATTTTGAGTTAAGAATTCGTAAAAATTTTTCTTTTTAAATCTAAGATGTGAACATGTAATAGAAGATTCCTTATAAGATTATCTACCTTTATCAAAAAAAAAATGTCTATAAGAAAGTCAAATTAAATTTTTATGAGCGTTTGAAATTCAAATTTTTACAACATTGGATTTACATTTTACATTTTACACTCGATTTCTCGTGTAGCGATTTCCTTATTTTGTTGTAATTCAAAAACAAATGACTGTAGATTCATGAAAATTTCACTGAATATTTATATTAGCATTTCCTATACACCATACAATTTTGAAAATATTTTGACTTTTTTTGAGTTGTTTACGGACATTTTCAGTTTTCCATTTTTTTAGTTTTTTATTCTATAAATATCAATAAAGTTTTATCTGTTGGGCTAAAAAGTGTAAAAATATAATACAAGGCTCCTATATTGTTACAATATCAGTTGAAAAATATTAAAAATACATAGGCACAATTGTTTTTTATAAGCATTTAAAGATCGAATTTTGACAAAATTTATCAAAATCTCAAAAATTATCAATCGTTGGAATTAAAAAATTATAAAATGTTCAGTTTTTATAACTAAGAGTTGAAAATTTAAAATTGAATAATTATTTTGTAGTTAAAAATGTATAAAATGTTCAACTTTTATAATATAAAATATAAGATATTATCTAAAGATATCTAAGGATTGAAAATTTAAAACAAGATTCCACGTAAGTAGTTAATTATGTTACCAAAAAATCTAAAAAATACATAAGCACAGTTAATTTTTATAGTCATTTTAAATTCAACTTTGGACAAAATTACATAAAAAAAACCTAGAATAACTATTTTAGTTATTTTGTTGTGATTGTGTAATATTATTCGTGGGTACTTGAAACTTTTAAAGTACACTATTATATATCTATGGAGTATGGACTATGATAGTATCAGGGTTTGTTGTTGACGTATAACGCATTATAAGTACCTAATGGATATTATGATATGATTGATTTGGAATTTATTATAGGTACCTATTTTAAGTAATTTTTTTTTGATACGATAGATAAGTATATACTATGTCTTATACCTAGACTGACACAATACCGTCTCCGCTCAGAATCGTTTTTCTTATACGATGATATTATATCATTGAATTAAAATTTAATACTATCCATTATACAGTGGCCTACTTCATACTTGTAACCTACTGTACAGCAGAGCACCTTTTTATAATTTTATATCAATATATTATATCAATATAATTATTATATCATTATTGGTTTTTACAGGAAAAAAGTTGGCTAAAATAGCCACTTCACAGTACTAAAAACCACTAACTGATAATGTAAAAATAATAGATAACACAATTTAAACTGTTCACTATACGTCTATAGTGAATACGTCTATATACTACCTACTTCATTAATACACAGGAATACACGGTGTATAGACGTTACAGTCGTTACACTTTTGATTCCAAGTACTAATTTACTATCGAACACTCAGTATCTAGCTGTCAAATTTCTTCTGTTAGATATTTGCCCACCTGCATAACAGGACCCACCACCCACCCATTTAAAAGGGGTGGCGGTCGCCACCCTTACTATATAGGTTCGGCGCCACTGCATATAACATTAGAACATATTTATTTTATATTTTTACTTCTTCATTTTGAAGATAGCGAAGCAGGAGTGCTGACTGCTATTAAAAAAATTCATATATATTTCAACATAGCTCTTTGTATCTTAAGTAAGTAATTTTATAATTTATTTGTTTTAATCAGTCTTGTAGAGTATTCGAATCCAAGTATTTCAATACGTGTATTAAAATACTTTTTGAAGTATTTTTTGGTACCTATTCTAAATACAATGTTTTTAAATTATTTTTTAAATATTCTGAATACTTTTTAAGAGTATTTTTAACATAATATAAATACTTGTATTTAAATACCAAAAAATTCACTTTATTAATTATTTTTCACAACAATTTGGCATCAATAAAAAAATTATTGTTTTCGTTGAAATAATATTAAATCGGCTTGATCTGTAAGTCTTAACTACAAGACTGGTTTTAATTTTACGGTCAATTTAATATTTCTGGTATCTTATGTAGTCATAATAAATATATAATTATATAAATAATCGATATTTAGCAATCAGTAAAATAATTTCGATTATGATTTATACGAAGAAATATTAATTTTCCGCCATTTAATTTATAAAAATACTACACCACTTCAAGTACTTTCTGACATAAAAAAAAACCGAACGCGTTTCCCAACTTGAATATTGCCTTACGAATTATGTTAACAATTCCGCTTACATCAGCTGGAGCAGAGAGAACATTCTCAAAATTAAAACTTATAAAAACTTATTTACGAAGTACCATGTCACAACAAAGACTTACTGGACTTGCTACAATTTGTATAGAAAAAGAACTATCAGAACAACTAAATGATGAAGATATAATAAATGATTTTGAATCTAAAAAAAGCTAGAAAAATTAAAGAATTATAACTGACAACATTTTGCTTTAACAATGTATTATGTATTTAAAATATAAATAAAAAAAAAAAAAATATTGTTAATTGTTCAGCACAGTAGCGCCGCCACTGAGTCTGGCCCACACGGCGATTACACATCAATAAAAAAACACACATCATTGTAAAATCAAAACATTCATCGCTCCGATCGGAATCTAAAATATATACCTAGTGCACCCTAGCAAAACGATTGGATTTAAATAAGACTTAAGGGGCCTCACTACCACGTTTTTTTTTTGTCAAAAACTACTGTTTCTAATTCCAACGATACGTGTCGACAATTATATCGATTTTCAATCTGAAAAAATATTTTGACTGTCCGTAATATAACCAAGGGAACAATCAAGCCACATTTTTAAATTTTTGTAATTTAAATTGCAATAAAAATTGTAAAAAATTCAAAACAAGTACAGAATTTCCAACTTATATATTTAATTAACTAAATGTCTAAATACAATTTTAAAAATGTGTCTCCATCGATCCCTCGTACATGCTGTGGAAAATAAGAATATTTTGTCAGAATAAAAATCGAGGTACCAGTTGCCTCGTAAAGTACCTTTTTTCATACCAATTCCCCCCAAACTACTTAGAGCAAAATGTACCAGTTGCCCTCATATGTAAATATACAGCCCGTAAAATAGGTAAAATATAAAAATAATAATTATAAATAGTAATTATTATGACAAAACATAGTACACAATATTATATCTAATTTATTTACTATTTTTTTTTTTTGACAAACTATCGCATTAAATATGTTTGCGCTGCAAACAAATTTATGTTGTGTGTTTCTGTTATCATTTTCATGTGCACGTATCAGTGCGTTCCACAGTTGCAGCCTTCGTCGGCTGATGCTTATCAGGCATTCGTGTGCGACCGGCCAGCTGTGGAACAATTATCAATGTTTTCATTATATTTGGTTATGTTAAAAACTTTAAGTTGTGTTTCGAGTAGTCATGCTTTCAGTGTCATAAAGTTCACAATTTTTTTGTTATCGGTTATTGTTTTAGTGTGGTGACACTGAAAGGCCGTTCGTTTTTGTGTTGCTCTATTGTGCCTCCAGGACATCGTGCGGGGCTTTTCACTTCACTTTTGGTGCTCGGTGCCGAGCGGTTCAATTGTTTTCATGGTTGTCTCGTCATGTTTGTGATGAGCTGTTTGCAGTCGTCCAAAACCACGTTGTTGTGAATTTGTGTTTAAGTTTCTGGTAATTATCGTTCTCAGCAATTTGTATTTCCATCACTAATTTGTTTCTCCAGTACAGGATGGTCAAAATTACCAAAGATTTGTGTTGTGAATCAACGTGTTTTGGTGTACCTCATTGCTCGTGGGAACAGTAGTGCGAACACTAGAAATCCTGTTCCGGCTGCATTCAATGTGTTATTGTTATTGAAGTCATCGTCAACAGTTGCTGGCACACATTCGAACGTACGCAGGGTCAATTTGTCTTTATTGTAATTTAGTGATATACTTACAGGCCCTGGTGCGGTAACGTGGGTGTAAAACCAGGTGTGTGTCTCAACTGTTATGTGAGTATTGGTCGACCAGATATGTGTGTGTATGACCGACGGGTCTTAAAGTAGTAAACATCACATTATTATGTACTGTTAGCCATTAACGCATATTATTTATTAATTGTATTCCATTGTATATTACAGCCGTTCAGGCCTGATTCAATCATATGTTATTATTTTTATTATTATCATTATTATAGCCAAAGAGGCAAATGAAATTATATTTCATACTGTTATTATTATTATTATTATCATTACTGTGCCAAACGGCAGTTAAAAATTTATTACAAAATACAGTCCACATTATTATTTACAACGACAAGGCTGTTCATTATCATTTTGTTCACCTTAAGCGTTATCATTTTGGTCCTTCGGGCCGGATAGGCTAAGTGAATTAGTAATCAGTATAAAATATAAATTTCATTAATTTGTATAATCATTTTTTTTATATTTTTTTTTTATTGTTAAATAAGCACACTGTGCATCATTCCCAATATTGTAATTTAGGCCACAATCATGGATATCAAAAAGGCGACTTTAGAGTTGAAGGTTATTCATTCCAGTTTAAAGGCGATAAGCACATTTGCCAAGAACTTCAATAGTGAAACAAACAATCAAAGCCAAGTTAGAGTACGCTTAGAGGAGCTTCCAAGTATTTCAGAAAAATTTGAAGAAGTGCAGTCAGTAAAAGAAGAACTTGATCAAAGGTCAGATGACGTAGTAATGGATGAACGAGCAAAATTTAGAGAGAGATTTTATGAAGTCAAGGCATCATTATTACATATATTGGAAGCTGAAGAATCCAAAAAATCAGAAGTGACCAGTCCATCCTACAGCATCACATCCAGTCATGTAAACAACAATATGATGAAATTACCACCTATTGAACTCCCTAAGTTTAGTGGTGATTGGAAAGAATGGACATCATTCATAGACTCGTTCAATGTTTACTTCCACAACAACAAAGATATGGCACCGGTTCATAAATTGCATTTTCTTAAGGCTTGTTTAGAAGGGCAGGCCAGTGACATTGTCAAATCTATACCAACTACAAATGAGAACTATGGGCAGGCCTATGATGCAGTAACAGCAAGATATGAAAACAAAGGAGCAATTATTCAATCACATATTAGAGCATTATTTGATACTCCTAAAATTTCAATAGCTTCAGTAATAGAGTTGCAAAGACTTTATCATCACATTACTTCAAATATAAATGCATTACAGGCTTTAGGTCAACCGATCGAAGCCTGGGACACTTGGTTAGTCACATTAATATGCAACCGAATGGATAGAGTAACCGTCGGTGAATGGCACGTTAAATATAACAAGAAAGACCTACCAGAGTTCAAAGAAATAAAAGAATTTTTATTTAACCGTATTGCTGCCTATGAAGCAGGTGAAGTTAACGTTGGTGCATCATGTATTAAACAGAATGTGGTCAAGTCCAGTAATAAAGCTCAAGAAAAAAAGGTTTTTTTTGTTAAACCTGCGAACAAGGTAACCACATTGTACAAATGTCCCTTTTGCAATGAAACTCATAGATTATATCAATGCAAAGGTTTTAATGATTTGAAAGTACCAGATCGCCGAGAATTTGTTTCAAAGAATCGGTTATGTTACAACTGTCTATACTCTAATCATCAAGCACAAGACTGCAGGTTCCCAGGTTGTCCAAGATGTGGTCAAAAACATAATTCAAAATTGCATTTGGTTCAAGCTCATGAAAATCAACAAACTAGTAGTGAAACGGAGCCCATTGCAAGCACAAGTGCTCTATGTTTTAGTAAGGGTATAGCACAATCAATGCATGCGTCAGGTGACATGGTCATGTTGGCCACAGCCGTGGTATACATTAATGATGCAGCTGGCTATCCTCAACCCTGTAAAGCACTACTGGACTCAGGATCACAAGTTAATTTTATAACTGACGCCTGTGCCCAATTTCTTGGAATGTCTAAAACAAAATTTGTTCTACCAATAGTTGGTATCAACTCAATGAGGTCAGATGCACAGAGATTGCAACCAGTTGTAATGTATTCCAGGTTTGAAAATTTCAACGTTTCACTAGACCTTCATGTACTTCCTTCAATCGCCAATGATATGCCATCTCAAATAATACGTTTAGATCAGTCAAAGATTCCGGACATTGTTAATGAACAATTGGCTGATCCAAGCTATGATACACCAGGCACGATAGATATACTACTTGGCGCAGAAATGTTTTACACACTTTTCAGTGGAGAAAAAGTTGCCATTACAAATAGTTTAGTGTTTCACAAAACCACACTTGGATGGGTTCTTACTGGAAGGGTATTAAATAGTGAAGTTATACAGTCTAGGTTTTCTGCTTGTACTTGTGCTAATGATGCAACCATAAACTCAGCGCTTTCACTATTTATCAGTAAATCAAGTGTTCGTAAAGATGAAGAAGATGAAGCTGAACAGCATTTTAAGAAGACACATTACAGAGATGAGTCAGGACGATTAGTTGTTAGCCTCCCATTAAATACTAAGCTCAGTTCGCTTGGTGAATCTAAACACATGGCGCAACAACGATTCTTTAACTTGGAAAAACGGTTATCTAAAGACAGAGAACTATGCATAGCCTACCACAAGTTTATGTCAGAGTACTTAGACATGAACCACATGGAACTGGTAACTAATGATGATTCAAATAGTCAAACATATTATTTGCTTCACCATGCTGTCATCAAAGAAGACAGCATCACCACAAAATTAAGAGTTGTGTTCGATGGATCAGCTCCATCAAGTTCCGGGCTATCCCTTAATGATGTCATGTTAAAGGGACCTATAGTGCAATCTTCCTTGTTCTCAATACTGTTACGATTCAGAGTACATAAGATAGCATTAACCGCAGACGTTGAGAAGATGTACCGTCAAATACTAGTAACTCCAAAAGACTGTCAACTACAACGAATTTGGTATCGTCCAAGTCCCTCTGAACTGTTAAGGGAATATAACCTTCGGACAATCACGTACGGTACAAAATCAGCTCCCTATTTAGCGACCCGTAGCCTGGTGGAAGTAGCTTTTTCAGCTCCAAATGAAGCTGCTCAAAGAGCTATAAAAGATGATTTCTATGTAGACGACCTACTTACTGGTGCTGAATCTTCAGACGAATGTTTCCAGCTATACAAAGATGTTTCAGACACGTTGGCGTCTCGTTGTCTACCGTTAAGAAAATGGTGTACAAGTTCTTCCGAAGTCCTGAGTAAATTACCAAATTCTGGGACCGATCCTAATCATGTTTTACAATTTAGTGAACAGGATGCTGTCAGTACGTTAGGTATAATGTGGCAACCCATAACAGATTGTTTTTGCTTTACATTAAAGCCATGGAATCCACCCAAAAAAATGACTAAGCGCACATTGCTTTCTGACATTAATAGGATTTACGATCCACTTGGTTTCCTAACACCAGTTCTTATAACTGGAAAGATCTTTGTTCAACAGTTATGGGTGTTGAAGATTGATTGGGACACGACATTACCCGACGATATGCAACATCAGTGGAAAAACTTCTATTTATCTTTGTATGCGTTGGATAAATTAGCCATTCCACGTCGGCCATTGTCAAGTAATTGGTTAAACATACAGCTTCATGGATTTTGTGACGCCTCACAGGAGGCGTACGGAGCATGTGTTTACGCAAGAACACAGAATTCAAATGGAGATGTTGAAACAGCTCTATACGTTTCAAAATCAAGGGTAGCACCACTTCATGCGACCACTATACCCCGGTTAGAACTCTGTGGTGCTGTACTACTCAGTGATTTAACTACAGAAGTCATTTCTGAATTAAAAAAATTGAATATAAGCCTACATCAACGCGACGTTGTACTGTGGTCAGATTCAACGGTTGTCATCGCCTGGATAAATAGTACACAGCCACTTAAGTCATATGTATCAAATAGAATTGCTCAAATTTTAGACCACACTGATAAAACACAATGGAATCATGTGCCCACAGATTGTAATCCAGCTGATCTTATAACACGTGGACAAACAGTTAATAATTTACAACAGTGTTCAATGTGGTGGAGTGGTCCACACTGGCTCTCAAAGCACCACACTTCATGGCCTACACATACTCAGCCAATCTTAAATGAGGTACCTGAAGTACGACCTGTTAAATTGGTGCTTCAGGCATCTGCCCAGCCAGTAGATGATTATCTGCTCAGCAAGTTTTCTAAATGGAACCATATGGTACGCGTTACAGCGTACATGTTGCGTTTCATATCCAACGCAAAGGAAAGAAAGAACCAAACACCTAACTGTCAAACAGGTGTACTCACTGTAAATGAATTACAAAATGCTAGGAATGTGTGGCTTCGTTACGCCCAGCATAATGCATTCAGATCTGAATTAAATTCCTTGACAAAGTCCAGTTCTGTAGGTTCCAATAGCCCACTGAAGAGGCTCAATCCATTCATTGACACTGTTGGACTCATACGTGTTGGTGGTAGATTGGATTATCTTGTAGCATCAGAAGAAAGAAGGCACCCTGTTGTACTTCCGCCGAAGGGTAAAATTGTGAAAATGATATTTGAACAAATGCACTTGGAACTTCTACATATTGGGCCTCAGGGTCTACTTGCAAACATCCAATTGTTATATTGGCCTCTTCGTGGACGCAACTTGTCGCGATCCACATACCACAATTGCAATATTTGTTTCCGTGCGAAACCTAGCATGTTACACCCTATGATGGCACCTATTCCGCGAAGCAGGATATCTGTTCAAAGAGCATTCTCTCGTACAGGTGTTGACTTCTGCGGGCCAATATTTATAAAAAGTGGAATAAGGCGAGTCAAGTCCATAAAAAGTTACATTGCAGTGTTTGTATGTTTCAGCACTCGTGCAGTACATTTAGAGCTAGTTTCAGGGTTATCATCAGATGCCTTTATAGCAGCTCTAACCCGGTTCATTGCGCGACGAGGTCCATGTCTTCATATACACAGTGACAACGGAACCAATTTCATTGGCGCAAATCGGGAGTTATCCTCGTACTTCAAAGCAGAATCTGGAAAGCAAACCGTAATCGAAAACATGACACAACGTGGAGTGACTTGGCATTTCAATCCACCATCTGCACCACATTTTGGCGGCATCTGGGAAGCAACAGTCAAATCAGCAAAGGCCCACTTAATTAAGCTAACAAACAATGTGCTACTGACATTTGAAGAGACCACCACGTTGCTCTGCCGCATTGAAGCCGTTTTAAACTCAAGACCATTAACTCCGTTAGCAAATGATCCCTCAGACTACGAGGCCCTGACACCTGGGCACTTTCTTGTAGGAGGTCCCATAATATTGCCGCCTGAGCCAGACTCAACCTCAATACCTCAGAATAAATTGACTCGATTTGCCCTTGTTCGTGCTCAAATGCAACGGTTTTGGAAACGATGGAGCCAAGAATACCTGCCACAAATCCAGAAAAGAAATAAATGGCTAAAACCCCAAAGAAATCTAGTTGTGGGTGATCTGGTTATTGTAAAAGAGGAAAACTTACCTCCACTACATTGGAAGTTAGGTCGTGTCTTGACTGTTCATCCCGGAAAGGATGATGTGGTGCGTGCTGTCACCATCCGAATGGGAAACGGACATGAATATAAACGTCCTGTAGCCAAGCTTGCCCTACTACCAACAGTCAAGGATGAAGAGGAAGAAGAACATAAACTACAACTACAATCGTAGTATCATCTCAAGTCATTTATTATTATCATTTGTATTTATTGTTTAAGACAGTTTGTCTAGCCGCCTAAGGCTCAAGTCATTTATTATTATCATTTGTATTTATTATTTAAGACAGTTTGTCTAGCTGCCTACGGCTCAAGTCATTTATTGTTATCATTTGTATTTATTGTCAAAGACAGTGTGTCTAGCCGCCTAAGGCTCAAATCATTTAGTATTATCATCATGTTAGTCGCTTGCTCTGTATTCCACTCATAGATCAAGTATCTTTATTGTCGTTAAGGTTATTGATGTGCTACTGTGATCTTATCTGTTTATGCATATGTAATGTTCAAATATCATGTCTTAGGGAAATCAGCATCATCATTAATCATGTCTAATGAGCCTTGAAAGGACCACATCCTTTCAAAGGGGGGAATATGTTTGCGCTGCAAACAAATTTATGTTGTGTGTTTCTGTTATCATTTTCATGTGCACGTATCAGTGCGTTCCACAGTTGCAGCCTTCGTCGGCTGATGCTTATCAGGCATTCGTGTGCGACCGGCCAGCTGTGGAACAATTATCAATGTTTTCATTATATTTGGTTATGTTAAAAACTTTAAGTTGTGTTTCGAGTAGTCATGCTTTCAGTGTCATAAAGTTCACAATTTTTTTGTTATCGGTTATTGTTTTAGTGTGGTGACACTGAAAGGCCGTTCGGTTTTGTGTTGCTCTATTGTGCCTCCAGGACATCGTGCGGGGCTTTTCACTTCACCTTTGGTGCTCGGTGCCGAGCGGTTCAATTGTTTTCATGGTTGTCTCGTCATGTTTGTGATGAGCTGTTTGCAGTCGTCCAAAACCACGTTGTTGTGAATTTGTGTTTAAGTTTCTGGTAATTATCGTTCTCAGCAATTTGTATTTCCATCACTAATTTGTTTCTCCAGTACAGGATGGTCAAAATTACCAAAGATTTGTGTTGTGAATCAATGTGTTTTGGTGTACCTCATTGCTCGTGGGAACAGTAGTGCGAACACTAGAAATCCTGTTCCGGCTGCATTCAATGTGTTATTGTTATTGAAGTCATCGTCAACAGTTGCTGGCACACATTCGAACGTACGCAGGGTCAATTTGTCTTTATTGTAATTTAGTGATATACTTACAGGCCCTGGTGCGATAACGTGGGTGTAAAACCAGGTGTGTGTCTCAACTGTTATGTGAGTATTGGTCGACCAGATATGTGTGTGTATGACCGACGGGTCTTAAAGTAGTATACATCACATTATTATGTTCTGTTAGCCATTAACGCATATTATTCATTACTTGTATTCCATTGTATATTACAGCCGTTCAGGCCTGATTCAATCATATGTTATTATTTTTATTTTATTATTATCATTATTATAGCCAGAGAGGCAAATGAAATTATATTTTATACTGTTATTATTATTTTTATTATTATCATTATTATAGCCAAAGAGGCAAATGAAATTATATTTTATACTGTTATTATTATTATTATTATTATTATCATTACTGTGCCAAACGGGCAATTAAAAATTTATTACAAATACAGTCCACATTATTATTTACAACGACAAGGCTGTTCATTATCATTTTGGTCACCTTAAGCGTTATCACATACATTGCTATAAGCAGTGTAATAACGAGATTAAAAATATAACTAATCGCGCAACAAAAAAGCCAGAATTGAAGATTTTATAAATAAATATAAAAACGAGAATATTAGTAGATTCGATTTTGTAAAATCTGTTAGTAATAAATTATTATAACAATAGACATAATACATAATTATTATATCTATTTTTTTTTTCTTGACAAATTATGCCACATAATTATGATGTTTATTATTTTATTGACTTTTTTATACTATTTTGTTACCTAGTAAATATTATAAACATATGAATTTTTACGTACTAACAAAACAAAACTAAAAACATAATATAGACTAACCACGTAACATTAGACGACGGCGGACGATGACTGCCTATATGCTTAACATATTATCATATAATTCATAGTTTGACAATAATAATTACCTATAATGGTAAAATGTGTGTGTTTGTATAATATATTATGTATTTATGTGTGTGTGGCTATCGAACGATTGAGAACTATATACGTTTTTAGCCGAACACTTAAAATTAAAAAAGAACTTACCGCCAACCCAAAAAAAAAAAGAATACGATTGAGAACGAATTTACGTGCAACGTTGCCACATCATTTATTTGGCTATTGAAAGATTCATGCCCTTGTGTATAAAATAAATATTCTTGAAAAAAGTCATAAATTAACTCATACAACATATGGGCACCTAATAATATGAAGTAATACAAATGTATGAATAAAAAATGTAAGATAATATGTATAACTCATAAAAATATGTATATTTATCCCTTTAATAATACTTTTATTCAAATTCTGATTTCAAGTATACCTGAAGACCATAATGTGTTCAAATTCCCGGTAATTTTGTATACTACCCTGTGGCATAATAAGAACTTGAATACAAACTGAATACAATTTTCAAATGAAAATTGCCCTTTTTTACTGTAAATTATTTTGCGGGTGATTCTCTTTAAAATGTCGAAGTATCTAAATCAAAATTCTAATAAATAGTTTCTGAGTTATTAAAATATTCATACTAAGGATAATAACCCTTAAATATGGTTTTAAAAAAGTATAAACCGTATGTGTAATATTAGATGTAGGTAGGTAGTATTTGTTATACTTAAATAATTTTTACAAAAATTTATATTGGTAGATCATTAGTAATTACTAATTACTAACATTTTCATATCATCTAAGCCCCCAAATCTACTTAACCTAGGGCATACAAATATAAATTATTCTCAGTACCTACCTTGAGTCTTTACTCTAACTATCGTAGCCAGTGGCGTGCCCAGGAAATTTCAATAGGGTGGGGGGGATATATGTTATACATTTTTTAGTAAAAGTACATTTAAATTAATCATGGTTATCCAAACACAAAAATTGCCAAACATATGTACTTTCATGCATATTGAGTATCGTTCTACAGTTAGAATTAATTTAAATAGCCACACACTATACACTATTGTTTAAATAAAATGACAACATTAAACTAAAAACATTTATAACCTTTATTAAAATAATTAATATACAAAAGAAAAATAATTCTTAAAAACAACTTAATTATTCTAAACGAAAATTTAACCGCCTAGATTTTGTACTCATCTCATTAATGACTTCATCACAGTGTTCGGAACGTTCACGAAAAAAATGAACTCGTTCACGTTCACGTTCAGTCCTTCAAAAAGGAACTCGTTCACGTTCACGTTCGTGTTTTTTTAAACGAACGCGTTCACGTTCACGTTCTTTTAAAAAACGAACGCGTTCGATGGGTCGCGTTCATTTAATTTTTTTTTATGAATCGTTGGCTTGCCATGAATATAAAAATTAAAATCCCATAAACATATACGACTCAAACAAAAAATAAAAATACAATTTAGAGCATATAGGGGAAAGTGGGGCAGAACGGGGGGCCATGTGGCAAAACGGGGACATTTCAATATTTATGTCTTATAAGTTATAATGATCATACTGATTTAAAATTAAATTTAAAATATTCATAGATATTAAACATATTATGGATACGGCATAACACAAAAATCTGTATGCTAACATAATTCATACTATTATTAACCGCTAGATGCCGTATCCATATGTTTAATATCTATGGGTTTATTACGAATTTGTGGAAATCATAATATTATGTATGTCTAGCCGGGGACACTGGAATTGCCCGTTTTTAATTTATATATTTTGCAATCAAACGAATATTATAGGAATTATAATGGGAAAAATGAAAATATTATTATTATAATATAATTAATTAATATATTTTATACATATAATATTTATTAAATGGTAAATAAATTGAACGTCTTAAAAATTCATCAAATTCATCAAAAATATAAACGTCGTTCACGTTCACGTTCTATATGCAAAAAACGAGTGACGTTCACGTATCGTTCACTATATATGAACGTGAACGCGTGAACGTGCGTTCATGAACGACGTTCTTTCCAAACACTGCTTCATCAGTATTTATTTTAATGTCTCGATGAATGTTCATCAGAGCTAAGCCGTTTAATCTTGCTTGTCCAATAGAATTCCTTATATAAGTCTTTAAACGCTTTAATGTGGAAAATGACCGTTCACCAGTTGCGGTAGTAACTGGTAGGGTTATTAAAATTTTTAATAATTTGTGTATGTGTGGAAATATTATTATGTCACATTCACTAAAAACATCAAGAGCGCTTTTTGATACATGAATCTCATTACACTTTTCTTGCCATAAATATAATTCTCCAGTTATAACTAAGCTACTGTTATTCAAATCCTCTTGATATGTATCAATGAGGTATTTAATATCTTGATCAGTTCCTGAATGAGTTTTATAGCCAGGTAGAATACAACTAAAACTTTGCAATAATTTATGATGTTTTATAAATCGATCATGTAACTGTGATAAAAAATTATCCAAGAATGGTACATAATATTATATTTTCAATCTATAAAAATCTTCAGCTGTTTTATTTGTTGAAGTAACTAATTCAGAAAATTTTATATGTCTATGGTAATATCTAATAAGTCGAAGTTAAAAAAAAAAAGCCAATGGGGGGGATATAACCCCTAACCATCCCCCCCCTCTTGGGCACGCCACTGATCGTAGCTATTTTCAATATTGTTTCTGATCGAGTTTCAATTAGAATTTTATTATAATAACAACATAATATTATATCGCTGGACTATATTACAATATCAACAGATTATGGTTCTCAAATTGTCATTCGATTAAATTTGGCAAAGTTGGAATTCAAATAAAACAGCGAGTGTTCTCAATCGTGTTACCTACCAAAAATGCCGTTCTCGATCGTATTTTACCGGTGTTTGTGCGAATCCGGTTTACCTTTAATCAAAGATAAAGCGAGTATCGGTGGCGCAAAAAATTGGTAATTTAA